ATAATACCAACTCGAGCCTTCACGAATATATACTTCTATTCGATTTTCAATATCCCAAATAAGCTCATCTACAATTCTGGGGATATCTTCTTTAGTGGTTACTACTACTGCTTTATTTTTGAACGGAACTTCTTTATAATCTTTTTCATCATTATCATTTTCTACAAATGTTCCATCTTCAAACAGTCCTTGCTGATAATTTGATGATCGACTCATTTTTCCTGTGAGACATAATCGAGTTTTGAACCTGTGAGTAAGGTCAAATCGGTCATTGAAAATATTTATTATTTGCTCCCTAAGTACTCCGAGAGTATTGATTGGGTCTTGTGCGTATATGCTTTCTTTTCCTATTTCAACTTGATAATGATCATCTAATAATTCACATCCTGAACTAATAATATCCATTTGATGAAATTGCGGAATAGGTTCTAATATTCTTAATGCTTCGAGATATTCTCTTTTAGCCTCTGGAGATGAGTTAACCTCTGAATGACTGCTTTCACCAATTTCTGAGGAATCAAAATAATCCCAATGCATCAAGATATTCTATTTCTGGATCAAGTTGCGGTAGTTGGTTAGGAGAGGGAACTGCTAAGTGACATGGATTTTTATTACTAGCATAATGTTGACGAAGTTTTTGTGGTGTTGAAAGAGAGAGACCACAGCATTCACAAGTACGATTTTTTTTATGTTTTTTAACCATAGTATATAATTGATTTATGATATATTACTTATATAAAATCTTTGGTTTAAATAATTATTACACTATATCCCAAAAGGTATTACGTGCTCCAGTGCTATAGTAAATTACGTACTAGGGGTTCAAAATTAGATTCTAGCTATGAGGATAGAGCTTTGTCCTAACTTTTTTCGATATATATTGAGGTTAGACTTTGTTCCAACTTTTTTTTCGATATATATATATATAAAGTATAATGGAATAGAATCCAGAATATAAAATAATCGATTCTAGTTATGAAGATAGATTTTGTCCCAACTTTTTTTTTCAATATATACCTATTATATTGAGATTAGACTTTATATATAAAGTATATTGGAATAGAATCCGGAATATAAAATAATCGATTCTAGATATGTAGTTAGACTTTGTTCCAACTTTTTTTCGATATATTGAGGTTAGATTTTGTCTCAACTTTTTTTTTCGATATATAATTTTTTTGATATTCTTCATGATAATAATAATTGATTTGGACATTAAGAGAAATAGTAAAAATTAGTGATTCTAAAAGAAGCGCAAAATAACTAAAAATCTTTTATTAGAGGTTAGATTTATTTATATTGAAAAAAATTTTGATGACTTTTTTATATAGCTATTTTATATTGATAACAATTTTGAAAGCTAATATGTTAACTATACTCTGCTTCGCTCCGCAACTGTTCCACATTCACCCTTTGGGATTTATGCTTCACAGTAATATAAGACTAAATAAAGTTTAGAAGAGAATTAGAATAGTAAAGAAAATGATATTAAATTTAAGCTTGCTGATGCTCGTTACACTCAGTTTCAGGACATTTGTCCTTTAGCTTCAGGCTCCTTTTTTTATAGTAAGCAAAGTAGTAATATGAAGATGTGGCCAAAAAAATAAATCAGACCTCATTCGTGTGTGGCAAAAAAAAATTAAGCAAAAATGGTATAAAAATCGATATAAGAGAAAAGCTTACTATGTGACGAAAAAAGAAAAATGCTATACATATTCTGGTTAGGCTTCCTGTCCCAACTCTCTCATAAACATACTACTACATACTTGTTGAAGTTTTAATACTCTCTATCATAATTTCAGTAGAATTCTATTCTGTTTTAACATCTGAAATCAATTCTAATTTTGGTAAATTTGTTATAATATATTGTTGATAAAATTTTTCTCTTCATTAAGATGATACTCTAATTTTAATTATCAATTTTTGTAGTTAAAATTTTAATAAAAATATACAAATTATCATAAAATAATATTTAATATAAAACAAATTATATAATAATTATTGTCTAGTGCAAAAAGATTTATACCTCAAAAAGAAGCTAATAAAATTTTTTTTTATTAAGTAACTATTTTTTTTTTTATTTAAATCATATCAATACATGTTTGAAAATATAAAAATATAAATTTTATATTAAATTTATATATCATTATCAAAATCGCCATAGTTATCAAATTCTTTATTAATTAATTATGTATTTTTATTAGACTTAAAATATTCCTTGATATTTTTAAATATTTTTCTTCAAAGCCCAACTATAATTTGTAAATTAATTTTATTTTTAAATGTATTTAAAAATATATTTTGTACAGATAAAAAATTTATATGTGAATTTAATCTTGTAACTTTAAAACTACCCAAACACCTTCAATTGGCTAAAGTTTACAGTAATAAGGAGGAGTAAAAAAAATTTGATAATCAAATTGTTTTGTTATTTTAACACAAGTAAATGACATCTTTTCTTTGTTTATTTAAATCAGCTCAAAAAGTTTTGGTCTTTGTAATTCACTAGAAAAAGTAATATTATAAGTAATTAGTTAGTTAATAATTTCTTTTTTTTTGTACTTGATTAGAGTATAGAATGGATCAAGCTAAACCTATAAATTTGCAAGCTAAACTGGACTTGGATCCAATTTGGGCTTATATTTTTAAGTCCATTATTATGTGAATCGAATTTTGAGTTGGACTTGTTAAATATTGAGTTAGATTTGAGCTTTGTTAATATATCTAACTAGGTCAATAATATCCTTTAGTAAATTTTAGATTTTAAATAATTCAAATAATTAATACTTACCTTATATAAATAGATGCATGTAACACATAATGCAAAATACTATATAAGGTGATAACATGACTTAGTCTTTATTCTTGAGTGCTTCATTATTCTCATTTGTAACTTTAACTACTTCACTATTAAATAATAATACACCAGTAGAGAGTTGCAGAAGCTAAGTGAATATGTTTGTACAAGAACATAGATTAAAAGAAACGTATGTGACATTTCTAAAAAATGGATAATAGAATGCTGATAATTGACATATTAAAGGAACTATGGTTCTAATTAGACTTATTAACTATCACTAACTCTTACCTATTACAACTAGAAATGCAAAGTATCAATTCTGCCTGTAGTGAAAGTGAAAGTCTCAAAATAATCACTATTAATGAAAGTCCTAAAATAATCACTGTTAATGAAAGTCCTGAAATATCCATTTTTAATGAAAACTCTGAAGTAACGACTGTTAATGAAAGCCCTGAAACAATTAATGAAAGTTTTGAAATAATCACTACAAATAAAAAATATAAAAGAAACAAGTTACAATCATGGATTTTTAAAAAAAAGTCACTTTATTAAACATGATTCTCAGAATAATAAATATACTTGTTTTATAAAAACTTTGAATTTCATTATTTAATAATATTATTTTTTTATTATAAATTATTTAATTATCGCTATTTTTGAAATAGTTTGGTCAGGTGTTCTGTGATATAAAAAATTTTTTTGTAGATCCTGCAAATATTATACGATCGCGTATAATAAAAATTTATCAAATAAACAAATAATTTTATTTTTACATTATTTTTTATTTGTCTATATATCAATGTTTATTTTTATTGAGTTTTGAAATAAATAATAGTAGATTTCTTCCTTTTGATTTTAGTAATTACAGTTTTTTTTTTTTCTATTTTGGTGATTATAAGTTTTTAATAAAATTTTGAAATTACAGATGTCATGAAAATACAGTAAAGATCTTCACTGGTGAGTAGTTTATTTAGAAAGTGAAAGTTATAATGCACAATAAATTTTTAAAACTTTATTCATTGGTAAATCTACTGTAAATTATATTCTCAGAACATTTGCTAAATAGGGTTGTGTAATAAATCCATTCAAAGGAGTATCTGGATATAAACAGAAATTTTCAAGAAAAGAACTTCAAGTACTTTAACAACTTGTAAAAGAAAAAGTTAATTGATATTTAGATAAACTTTTAATTGAAATGGAGAATCTAACTGAAAAGTCTGTATCTGTATCTGCACTTTGATGTTCCTTACATTATTGTGGTATAACTCATAAAAAAGGTTTGATGATGATGATTATTATTTTTCTTCTTAGATTTTTATTTTATATTATAATTATAAATGTTATAATATTATTTTTTCTTTAAAAGTTACAAAAAGTTGCTAAAGAAAGAAATGAAACAGTTCGAAATAATTTTATGACAATTATTGAAAACAATTATATACCTGAATAATTAATTTTTCTTGATGAAAGTGTTAAAGATGAATGTACAATTTCACATCTTTATGAATATTCTTCTATTTATATATGTTGTTATAGAATGAAAATATAATAATATTAAAAATACCTGTAATAATTAATAATAATCTTTAAAATAATATTTAAAATTTAATTAATGAATATTAACCCATGTAACAAATAGTAATATTTTAATAATTTTTAGTAAATATTTATAGTTTGTAATATACATTAAGTAGTCATGAAATAGCAGTACAAGATCACGTGTTCACGTAATATTTAGTTATACAAACATAACTATCAATTCATAACATTATTTATTATCACTTAATATTATTTAACAATAATTATTAACATATAGTATTAATTAGTAACAGATATATTTAGTAAATAATAGTAACCAATAATAATAGTGTACAGTAAGGCACAGTAAGGCATAGCAATGGCACAAGTAATGAAGATCACTAGATTTAGATATAAAAAGGGACTGAAATTACCTTGCCCCTCTTTAGTCTACAATTTTATAATTTCGAATTTTGATAATTTGTAATTTATTTGAAATTAATAAATTTAATTTTATAATTTGTAACTCCAAGATAAACACTTGTAAAAATTACCTTACAATGGAATTAATAAAATAAATATTGGAAATGTAAAAATAAATTATAAAAATAATTATTAAATAATACAATAGGTAATTAATAAAGAAATAATGGATGTTATGGGATTAAATATTTGATTGTATAATTATATAATGTTATTATTCCCGAGTTAATGAAATTAATTATAAACTATTATAATAAATCCTGAACTCAAAATAATAATTAGTTTGAATAATTGGAAATAATATTTAAAGCTGATAAAGTTAAAAGATAATTAATGGATAAATGTTAATACTAAAGATGAAAATGAATTTGGAAAGATATTGAAACAAATTGAATGAAAGGTTTGATTCTCTTTTTAAAATAACTGAATTAGTGGTGCCTTCTAAAATAATGAAACAACAGTCTTACTTTTAGAAAAGGACTATAAACTCCTTAAAAGAACTATAAGTCACTCTACTTAGGTGGTTCTTGAGAAAATCAGGAACCACCGGTAACAGCGCGTAGCAAATTAAAGAAATATAAATATGAGTCTTCCTTGACTTGAGAAGGGGAAGTTCAAGAAGTTTTATAGTTCTCAATAGTTTAAGAAACTAGAACATAGTTGTTTCTTCTAGTTAATACATAATTTAATCCTTTAATATTTATCTTTACTTTATAATTTCTATTTTTATATTATATTTTATCTTTATATTTATTATTATATTTATTAATAAAGTTATATCATATTAAATATTCCCAACAAATCTTTAATTTGTTAATTTGTCAAGTAATTCTTAATAAAACCTGAGTTAATCTTATATAAATACTCTTTAGCATATACATCTTATTAAACGAATAAGCTGATTTGATATACTAAAATCCTGCACAATAAAGAACTCACCTTGTAATATTCATTCGAATTTACTATTAAATAATTGAATTGAGTTGATTTTAGTGATCCTCGAGAAATTCTGAAAATTATTTAAGTAGTTTAAGTTAGTTTAGTTAAAGAATATTAGTTATCCTTTAGACCATTATCCACATATTGGTGCAACACTATATTCACTCAAAAACTATCTAGAGGTTTAATCAAAATTCAGTAATTACTGATTAATTATTTGTTCTATATTGATTAATACTTAATTGTTCATTTTCTATTATTGATTATTGATCGATTTTTTTTTTATAAAGAAAAAAAATTAAAACTATTTTTATAATTATTTCAATTTTATTCTAAAAATATAAATTAATCTATCAATTGATTATATGATGAAAGAAGAAAAAAAAAAAAAAAAAAAATAAGAAAATAGACTCAATTTCAATCTTGCTTAGCTTCTTGGCCACTGCGGAAGTGGTGACAGTTCAAAACATTAGCATTTTCACCTTGTTAAGTGGTTTTTTGCTAGGAAAAGTGATCACCATTTAAGCAAAATATTGATTTCTGCAGTGATCTGCAATAAACTGCAGTATCTGTAATATGGTGGAGAGGACAAAAATGAAGTAGGTAGTACAAGGTAAGTGGATAAATGAAAGTAAGTAGTAATAAGTATTGATAAGTAATCTTAGGAAAAGAGAAAAAGGAGTAGAAGGGAGTAACAATAACTAAAAGGAAAATTATATAGACAAAGATTAAAGATAACAAGATGTGATAGATGAAAATGAGAGTGAAAATGTGATGACAATGAAGAGAATAAAAAAAATAGTAACACTGGATAATATTGTGAATAAAATTATTATTTCAAAACTAAGCCTATGTACATTATGTAATAAAGAATTATTTTTGAGCCTAATAAAACAACCATTTACTATTCTACCATGTAAGCATATATTTCATTATACATGTCTCAAAAAAAGTATCATTAACAGTATAGAAATTTGTCTTGCTAATAATTGTTTTAAATCTTTCAAATTGGGGTTTGAAGATATAGAAGTATTAGAACTACTACCTTTTTCATTCCAAGATAGCGTGAGCTATACATGTTCCCAAAATTGATTTTGAATTTTTGAGGTATTTCGACTTTTTGAGATTTATATAAAATCTATTTTATATATGGAAATAAAAAAAGTACTCAGTTATATGTATCTTTAATCAAAGAATAAATCTGGATGGTCAAAAAATTTCGAGTTTTAGGTAAAATAATTTCGTCTTTTATGAAAAACTATTTTGACTTTTTTTTCCGAAATTACAATTTCGGGACCTCAAAATAATTTTGCGTGCAAGTATAGCGTGAGCATCTCAATACAAATTTCAACACAAATGGTATATAATTAAGACTGAGATAAAATTATTTCAGAAATGATAGCATTTTGTATTTCTAATCCATATCTTTTATTGTATCCAACCTATGCGGAGCAGATCAAAAATAACATGCTGTTACAGAATGAAAATATTATGATAAAAACACTTTTTTTTTTTTTTTTTTTTTAAAAAGTTTCAGCGAGGCTTTGCCTCAAATTTATTAACTAAAAAAAGAGAAAGTCTTCTATATTAATATTACATAATATAAGATACACAACTTATTCTAGTAACTATCAAAAAGATGAGACTCAGACTAATTCAAATTGTCTATCCTAAGATTAACACAAAACACGCCTGCAACCTACCGCCAGAAAACAACAGTTATAAACGGCTTGTTAAAGCCCTGCCGAACAGCCTATATTATATATATTTGACCAATGTTTATTATATTTCACTAATAATAATATATATTTACTAACTGCGTCATAGCAATTATTTTTCAGTTGTCTATGTTTATATCTATTATTATTATTGTTTTTATTGTTACTATTGTTATTATTGTTACTGATATCATTACTACTATCTCTACTACTATTACAGTTATTGTTATCAGTAATGATCTCTTTATAATATTGGTTTAATATCTTTCTTTTATTTACGTTTTTAATTCTATTTTCTAATTCCCATTGTTTTACAATTTTACAGTGATAGTTTCAAATATTTGTTTTTATATATTCCTTGAAAGTTACCATTATCTCTTCAAAAATTTTAAATACTTCTCTTTTGTTTTGTGTTTGTGAAGATATATTGTTGTATAATGAATTGGGAATGTGCCCAATGATGATGTCAAGAAATGATAATTCATTTTTGTCATAATTCTTTTTATCTTCGGATCACTTTAATTCACTTAATCTATAAATTTCGTCTTTGAGTTTATCTGGTTTTGTTTTCTTTTTAGCTATTTTGTTAAATTGATCAATCAAAGTGTTAACAAATTTATCTTTGCACATTTGTATATCTATTAAATTTGAATTGCATGTGAAAGTATGTAATTGATCTTCAGTAATATTATCATTACATCGCATACATTTATTATTTTTATATATCTTTGGATATCTTTTGTACATATATT